AACCACTGAGCCCCCCCCAGCATCCCAAGAGTCAGATTCTTCTTAACCCACTGAACCACATTGGCACCCCTAATTGTTTAATTATTTTTAAAATTATTTAATCACTATGAAAGTTTTTCCATGTTAAATATAGACACAAACCATATTTCCTGTGGCCCCATGGTATTCCATGTATGTAGCTACCATCATTTAATCCCCTATCTATTGATGGGCACTTAGGTCAGTTCCAATTTTTGATATTAACACCACAATAAATATCTTTATTGGGACGCCTGGGTGGCTCAGCGGTTGAGTGTCTGCCTCCTGCTCAGGGCGTGATCCCAGGGTCGAAGCATTCAGTCCTGCATTGGGCTTCCTGCAGGGAGCCTGCTTCTCCCTCTGCCTGTGTCTCTGCCTCTCTGCGTCTCTTTCATGAATAAATAAATAAAATCTTAAAAATTTTTTTAAAAAAATTATCTTTATTTGCTTATTTCCTTAGATTATGTTGTTAGAATGTTAGAATTACAATTGACTTCAAGAGTATTCTCTTTTTTTTTCTTTTACATTTTAGTTTCTTGTCAAATTGAGTGGTGTTTATAATTCTCTTCCGGTTTTCAGAGGTCAGATAGATTGATTCAGGCATGGAATAGCTAAGGATGGGTAGCATTTAATATTACAGTGTAGCATGGAGTTAATCATTAAATCACTGGCACTTTAGAGGTTTTGATTTTAGACTTCATTCTGACATACAGTATTTGAAGCATACTGAGAAGCTAACACAATATGCTGGCCGCTTGGTACTCATCATACTGATTCAAGTTCTTCAACATTTTGCCAGGTTTGCTTCATCTCCGTCTTATTTTTTCATAGTTGTATTGAATATTCCAAAGCCTCATCCTTCCTTCCCTTTTCCTCTCTTCTCTCTCTTGCTCTCAAGGTAACCAGTGCCAACCTTGATGGCATGTTATTCTCATGCATATTTTTTGGTTTTGAGGGGAAAGAACCAGAATTTTAGTGGCTTCATTTTTATTTTTATTTTATTTTTTTTAAGATTTTATTTATTTATTCATGAGTATACACAGAGAGGAGAGAGAGAGAGGCAGAGACACAGGCAGAGGGAGAAGCAGGCTTCACGCAGGGAGCCCGACGTGGGACTCGATCCAGGGTCTCCAGGATCACACCCCGGGCTACAGGTGGCGCTAAACCGCTGAGCCACCGGGGCTGCCCAGTGGCTTCATTTTTAATTAATTTTTAAATTTTAATTCCAGTGTAGTTAACATGCAGTCTTTTGTTAGTTTCAGGTGTATAATATTAGTGATTCAACAGTTCTCTACGGTACTCAGCACTGAGGATAACTGTACTCCTTCATCCCCATCCCCTGTTCCCCCACCCCACCTCTGCCTCATGCATGTTTTTATACTTGTGCTATATGCATATGTACCTATAAACCATTTCTTTTTCAGTTTGGAAGCTTACATGAATGGTATCATTCTGTAGCTGACCTTTTATTTTTATTTTTTAAAGATTCTTATTTATTTATTCATGAGAGACACAGAGAGAGAGAGAGGCAGAGACACAGGCAGAGGGAGAAGCAGACTCCATGCAGGGAGGGAGCCTGACGTGGGACTCCATCCTGGGTCTCCAGGATCACACCCCAGGCTGCAGGCTGCACTAAACCACTGCGCCACCAGGGTTGCCCTGTAGTTGACCTTTTACAACTTGATTTTGTTTTACATCATTTTGGGGGTATGACTAATGTGTGATGTAAGTAGATTTCATTCAGTTTTAACCTGATATATAGTATTCCATTGTATTTTTTTTTATTTTTTTTGTATTCCATTGTATTATTTTAAAACTCAGTTTCTTGTGTCGATAGATTATATATCTAGTAATAAAATTGCTGTTCTAAATTTTTTTCTGATGTCACAATTGTACATATAAAATCGAGGTTTTACAAATTACAGATTTCTGTATGATAACTAATTGTATATATAGTTTCCTTTGTATGAAGCTGCTCAGCTTAACACTTCAGCAACATTAGCATCAGTAATTAGAACTAGCACACTTATGTGCTGCTGAGTGCTTACGGTGTACCAGGTTCTGCTCTAAGCTTTTTTTTTTTTTTTTTTAAGATTTTATTTGTTTGAGAGAGAGAGTGTGTGTGTGTGTGTGAGGGATCACATGTAGAGGGAGGAACAGAGGGACAGGGAGAAGCAGACTCTTCGCTGAGCAGGGAGCCTGACACGGTGCTCAGTAGGGCTCAATGACCAAGATCACAACCTAAGCCAAAGGCAGACGTTTAACCAACTGAGCCAACCAGCTGCCCCTGCTCTAAGCTTTCTGTGTGTTCCAAATATTATGTCATTTAATTCTCACAACAAGATAAGGAAATCCAGGCACAGAAAGGTTAAACAAGCTGCCTAAGACGACTCTGCTTATAATGACAGAGCTAAAATTGAACCCTGGCATTTAACCCTGTGCACACTGCCTTTTAATATACTCTTTTGATGGTTTTGTCATAAATATAAAAATTGCCCAGTCAATACAGGATAATCCCATTAAGACAATATGAGTTAGTGGTTGGATGTCCTAGGTCAAGTGATTTCCAACTTTGTTGAGTATCAGGATATTTTTTCCTAATAGAGGCAAATCCTCATTTACCCACAGGGATTTGGGGTTGGTTGAGCATTGATTGTGTCTAGTTGATTGAAAAAGTTTATGTATATGGTCTACCACGTTAGAGCCTTTAGGGCGTCGGGGCAGTACCTCTAACTTACTACTTTGTTCTTGCGTTTAGTGTCAAATGGAGCTGTTTGGCCCTCACATTCCCTTGTTCTGACAGTGGTGTACAGCATCATTACGGGGTGTGAGGCTGTTTTGATGTGGGGAAGCTGTGTTTACAGTTCCAGCTTGTGATGTCAGAGCACATCTTCCCCCTTGAACAGGGCTCCTTCTGCTTGCACTTGGATCATGGAAGGGTTCGCTTCTGTAGTGCCCAGAGACTGAGCAGTCCTGGAGGACCAGGCTGTGGTGATGAACCTAGGAGGTGGGTCTGAATGGACTTTCCACTAGTTCACAGCCCTGAGACCTTTCTCAGATTGGATGACTTTCCTATTGCACTTCATTTCTAAAGAAAGAAAGAAAGAAAAGGACACCTCAGAGGTGAGCCTGCTTCCTTTCTCCTGCCCCTACTTACGGCATCTCTTCCTGAGCTGAGCACATATGTCTCTCCCTCTTTGTTTTCCTCTGCTGAGCCCCTGTGTGGAGCTTATTGGTGATCATCAGAATCTCCTGGAATGTTTGTTCAGTGAACAGTACTGATGCTACCCTAGACCTGCTGAGTCAGAATCTCTGGGTGATGATCCAGTGATACATGAATATGTTTTTTTAAGTAATCTCTATATGCAATGTGGGCCTTGAACTCAGGACCCCGAAATCATGCTCTACTGGCGGAGCCAGCCAGGCACCCCATTGATAGGTGAGCATTTAGCTTTTTCTTACAGAAGTTACAAACATGTCCAAACACAGAGAGAACTAGTACCATTAACCCTTATGTATCCGTGGTCCAGTATGTATCCATCATCAGTTTGCGAGCTGCTCTTACATTGTCTGTGGACCCACCCCCACCTTTCCCTGAGTGTTTGGAAACGTATCACAGACAGTATTTTTTTTTTCCTGTAAATATTTCAGTGTGTATTTCTAAAAGACACATTCTATTTTTTAAACAGCTATGTGCATTTTTCTCCCAGCTTTGTATGTTTAAAAAGAGAACTTTAAAAGAGACCTAGAGAACACAAATGTGACAGCAAATACCTCTCTGCCCTTTCCTGAGGTTCTCTGGTTTTGCCTTCTTTATCCCATTCTGTGGCTGTGTCTTATTTGCCTTTTGTTGTTGTGATTATACCCTTTGAAAGTAAATTAGGACATCATGACAGTTCACTTCTAAATATTCGGCTTATTTCTCTTAAGATCAGGCATGTTCTCCTATGTAACTATGGTAGTCACACTTCAGACACTTTTTCTCTAAATGTCCACAGAATGTCCTTCCTAGCTTTCCTTTAAAAAGTATCAAACATTATATTTGGTCCACAGTACTTCCCCAGTTCCATCTTTTAAAAAAATCTTTCATGACTTGTTATTTTTTCTTTAGTTTAGGCCACTTGTTTAAATATATCCCTGAATTTGAATTTGTCTTATTGTTTTATCACGATTAGATTCAAATGACATATTTTTGGCAGAAAGACCATGTAGTGATATTTTCTTCTTAGCACATCACATATGGCAGCTTGTCATTACTGGTGATGTTAGGCTGGTCACCTGGTTAAAGTAGTGTCTGCCAGTTTTTCATCCCAGAGGCACCCATTCCCTTCCATCGAGTCTTACCTAATCACTTATAGTGGTGCTGTTGTGTTTTTAGGTACACAGAGGGCCAAAGTAAGATTCACCCATACGTTAGAAGAACACCCTTACTTTCTTGGCATTTTGTATTAGGACTAACGTGGGCTGGGGTGCCTGGGTGGCAAAGTCGGTTAAGCATCTGACTCTTGGTTTTGGCTCAGGTCATGATCTCGAGGCTGTGTTCAGTGCAGAGTCTGCATGAAATTCTCTCTCCCTCTGCCCCTCATCCCATCCTCTCTAAAATAAGTAAATAAGTTAAAAAATATGGGCAGAAATAGGGAAGTAGGAGGCTAGGAAGGCAGTAGGGAGTATCTGTGTGTGTTTGACATCATGGAATGGGAGGCGTCTCTATTCGTGTGTTGTGATAGCCATGCAGATTGTAAGGATTGGAGTCTGGGGAGAGTGAGCAGAGTCCCAGGCATCAGGACTGTAAGGGAATGTCGAGCTGTTGTGGCTGTTTGCCTGGAGCCGTAAAGTCCCGTTGACCTTCGAAGAGGAGGGAGGCACATCAGCTTATGTGTATCTGAGCTTGCTCCTGTTTACACCTGACTGTATAATCTTCAGGATCTTACCACCTCCAACCACGATCAGATTTGCTTGTAACAAAGCTTTCTCCTTTCCAGTGGGTGAATTCGTAAGTGATGTTCTACTAGTTCCAGAAAAGTGCCAGTTTTCCCACAAAGAGCAGATGGAAGTGTGCGAGAACCACCAGCACTGGCACACCGTGGTCAAAGAGGTAAAAGAACAGATCGTGTATTGTTTTCCCTTTAAAAGACAAAGTAGCATTTTCTTTGAAACTTCCTGATTTCAACTTGATTTAATTTTCCCATTATCTTTTCAAAGTTTATGAGTACTTGTATCTTATAAATTAAAAATATTTGGGAGGGCATTTTTATAGGGAAATACAGTGTTGACAACCCAGCCCCTATAGTTAAGGATGTTGAAAAGGAAGAATGCTGTCCCTTGGGTTCCCAAGGAGGCTGTCCCAAACCCTAGCGCCTTAGAGCAGAAATAGCCAATTATAGAAAATCTGTGTCTTGATGAACATGCTGATTGCATTAGATGCCATTTCATTCTTCTGGGAGGAGAAATAGCCTTTCTTAACTTGCCTTCTGTAGTTAAGCTGGATCTCCAGTCTGTTTCTTTGGTCAAATTCTGACATCACGCCCTTGCGGTGAGGAATGTGAATTATCTCTGACCACCTTTAGCCAGCCAGCATTGATGACTACAACAACTCCTTTTTCCTTAATTGTTTTTCTAACTTTGGGCTTTCCTTTGTTTCTGACCCAACTGATGTTTCCTCATCACAAGTTAAGCAAAATTAGTAAATCTTAAAATTACAGCATGGCAGCTTGTTGACAGAAAATTTCTGTGTCCCTGAGAGAAGGTATTACGTAGCGATGTAGATAGGCATTTCTTTTGGGGACGATTTGACCACATTCGTCAACGTTCTGATGCGGACTCACGGGTTTCTTTTAGGCCTGCCTGGCTCAGGGAATGACCTTGTATCGCTACGGCATGCTGCTGCCCTGTGGGGTAGACCGGTTCCACGGCACTGAATATGTGTGCTGCCCCCAGACAAAGACTGTTGAATCTACTGTGTCAAAGGAGGAGGAGGAAGATGAAGAGGAGGAGGAGGAAGAGGATGAAGAGGAAGACTACGATATTTACAAAAGGTAAACCTCAGAGAAGAAGAACCTGAAATGGTTCTGCTGTTGGCCGTGGCCTGCCAGTCCCTCCCTCCGGGCACGGTGGGCTTCCCCCGAGGCTGCGGGAGTGGGGCCAGCTGGCATTTCCTTCTGGCCACAGCTGGTGGCAAGACTGCTGGTGGCTCTTGGCTCTCTGGCCTGTGGCCGCAGAGCTCACTGTGAGTTGAGCTGGTTTCCTGTCTCTGTTTTTGCATTTCAGAATAGGGAAGAGAATCATTGTTGTGCGCTGCACATAGGAATCCGTATTAACCTCCCTTTTCTGCTGTGACCTCTAGTGAATTTCCTACCGAAGCGGATTTGGAGGACTTCACAGAGGCAGCTGTGGACGAGGACGACGAGGACGAGGAGGAAGGGGAGGAAGTGGTGGAAGACCGTGATTACTACTACGACACCTTTAAAGGGGACGACTACAATGACGAGAACCCAACTGAGCCCAGCAGCGACGGGACAATTTCAGAAAAGGAAATTACTCACGACGTTAAAGGTAACCCGACGTAAAGCCATGGCGTTAAAATCCGTTTGGTGGTGTTTGCCTACGATTTTGGATTTCCCAGGTAAGTCCCAGGAGAGCTGGCGCTCCTGGGCGCCGACGTGAGGGCGGCCCGCAGCACGCTGGTCGTGCCCTATTCACGCTGGCGGCCAGGCTGGGGGTCCCGCAGCTGGCCCACTCAGGAGGGACCCAGAAGTGAATCAGAAAGTCTCATTTGCATTGTAAGGACTTGACTGGAGGACAGAGACGGGACCAGAGCATCAGGGACAGAACGTGGTGTGCGCGTGGGCAGGACGCTTCTACGTGCAGCCCGAGGGGTTCTCTCCCCGAGGGGAGCCCCCTCCTCAGTGCTTCTCAAGCCCTGACCTTCTAGAATGGAAGAGACTTGCTTGGTTCTTTTCCTGGGTGTGCTCCCATCTCTAGGCCGCCCTGTCTGTCCCCGGGCGGGTGGCACGGAATGACCGCCGGCGAAGGAGCCGGGCCGGCCGCTTCTTCATCCTGCCAGTTCCTCGAAGAAGGGGAAGAACGGTGGTGAGCACGCTAGCCCGTTGCCAGGCAGCCTCCTGCTGGTGCGTCTCCGAAGCCAGTGGAGACCTGAAGAATGATTTAGGGCTCCACGAGGCCCAACACTTGACGAGTCCAGACTTTACGATTCACCTCAGAAAACAAAAAGTAAACATGTACACGCAGGCTTGCCAGGGGCCTGAGTGGCGCTTCCTGGCGTCGCGGCCACTAAAACAGCCCTCCCGCCCACGCCGCGCTCCTTCGGCCCCTGGCAGCAGCCGGTGGGTGCGTCAGGCCCCTGCCCCCACTTCCCAGTTGGGGAGCGGGAGGCCCAGAACTCTAGACGTGTGAGACCCGCGTGTTGGCGGGCGGGCGGCAGCCGGGCTGTGTCGGCCTCAGCTGAGGGGCCGCGTCCCCCGCCCGCCCGCCCCCGTAGCCTCGCGAGGCCCGCGAAGCCGCTGCCCGTCCTGCTCACACTCTGACCGTTTCCACACAGCTGTCTGCTCCCAGGAGGCGATGACGGGGCCCTGCCGGGCCGTGATGCCCCGGTGGTACTTCGACCTCTCCAAGGGGAAGTGCGTGCGCTTTATATATGGCGGCTGCGGAGGCAACAGGAACAATTTTGAGTCTGAGGACTATTGTATGGCTGTGTGTAAGACGATGAGTAAGTCCCGGCGCCGGCCCGCGCGGCAGCGCTGTCCTGTCGGCCTGTCTCTCCCGGCATCCCCGTGGCCGCGTCTGTGTGGTGCTCCCTGCCGACTCAGGTGTTTGCTGTCGTCCCCCCTCTGTGCTTCCTAGATTTAGGCCTTGCTTTCCTGTGGGCCGTCGCCAGCCCGGCTCTGTGTGTCCCGTGCTCCCCGTGGGGCTAGTGGCGGCGGGGTCGCGGCAGCCGCCTCACCCTCGGCTGTCCGTCCTTGCGGGGCGCACACGCTGCGCTCCCCGTCTTCGTCTTCGAGCTGCCTTGTCCTTGTCCCCCCTGTCCTCGTCCCCTCCGGGGTCCGCAGGCGGGAACACGCTGCTCTAGGGAGCAGCCCGGCGGCTGCGGGGCGGTAGCTCGTGCTCCTGTGTTTTTGGCAACGCTGGACCGTGGAGCTTTAGGAAGTGAAGGAATTTTCGTCTACGTGTCCTTTGGTCCCAGAGGAAGTGCAGCGGTTCCCCCGAGGGGGGTTCCCGCGGCCTCGGCAGGAGGGCTCTGGCTTTCCCTGGAGGGCCCCCGCCTCGCTAATCCTCGGGCTCTGCGCTCATTCCCTGGCTCTGCTTCTGGATCTCGTCGGAGCAGCGAGCTATTGCTCGCTCCTGGTCGCTGCTCTCAGGAGTCCTCGGCTGTATCTTCCACCAGGTGTTCCCTTACATACCTTCGTGTGCCCCCCCCGCCCCCCCCAAGATGTTCTGAATCCCAACAGAACATAGTAGGCTTTTAGCACAACCACCCCAGCTGCTGCTCTGTGGAGAAGCTGTTCTTAGGGGAAGTAATTGAAAGTGTGGAAACAGTAGGAGTCCTTAGGGAACTTTGGTGACAGAAACTTTTATATTTTCATTATTTTAAAGATTTTATTTATTTATTCATGAGAGACACAGAGAGAGGCAGAGACACAGGCAGAGGGAGAAGCAGGCTCCATGCAGGGAGCCCGACGTGGGACTTGTTCCCAGTCTCCAGGATCAGGCCCTGGACCGAAGGCGGCACTGAACCGCTGAGCCACCCGGGCTGCCCAGAAACTTTTTTATTCAGGAAACCTGGAGGCAGAGCCTACTGTGATGTTTCCCGCTTTGCGAGGTTGCTTAAACCAAGGGGCGAGGAGTCATAATCTGGAGGTGAAGCCCGAGGAATGCGGGGTCATGGAGGAGCTCCCAGAATAGGGAGAGGCGGTTGCTTCCTGAAGGATCACGCAGGCGGTGCCGTACGGTGACCTAGGTTCTCGAGGCATCGCGGTTCTGCGGTCTGTGCAGCTGTCGTTCTGATGCCTGTGGTAGGAAGACAGGCCACAGAGAAGCCCTGTGCTCATGTCCTGGTGGGTCCCCGGCCCCAGGGCTTTGACCGCCTAGAAGCATCACTGGCCACTGGTGGGGTTTGTGCCCCTCCCTGCAGGGATCCGAGGAGGGACGATGTGCTGGTTTCTGGAGCTGGCAGTTTTCCCCCAGACCAGGGGGTGTGGTTCCGGTGTGCGTCCCCTCGGGTTTTCCGGACCAGGTCTCCAGGCCCACTGCCTTTTACCTTTTGTTCCCAGGGGGTGGAGGCAGCTTGTGGTTTGTATGATCTTTATCCAGCCCAGTGATAGGAACCAAAGACTGTCTGCAGCCCATAAGCCTTTAAGCTGCAGACGATGGCAACGTGCGTATTGGCACCGATGGCTTCCGTGCTTTGACGTCCTCCCGACAACTTGTGAGTGTCATGGGGAATGGGGTTTGCGAAGCTGTACACTCTAGTTAATGTGAAAACTGGCCGTGGTGATCCTGTGGAAGCATACGTAGGAGCCAAATGTTCCTGACGGGGTTTTCGTTGTAGCGTGTAGGTTTGAACCTAAGTGAAAGGTGCTTTGATGGAAGAGCTTTGGAGTGGCTGGCGTGTAGGTGCGCATGTCGTTCGTACGGCTGTTTTGGTGCTGTGTTACAGCTATACCATGTGGCGTTAGGCGACTTTATTTCTGAGTTGAAGGCCACTCACCGGGTACTTCTTCTCTTAGTGCTGACGTCATGACACAGCAGGTTATACGAGCAAGTGTCCTCCCTGGCTTGGGAGATTGGGAGTGAACTGGGCCAGTAAGAGTTTTTCTTGGGTATTTCCCACAGGGTCGAGGAGGTAAGCTTGTCATCTCAAACCTGCCTACGAGGTTAAGCTCCACTGCGCAGTGTTCACCTGCTGGGGCCCGTGAGCCCGGTTGCCAACTAGCAGTGAGGGGTGTGTCTGGGTGATGGGCTGGTGAGACCAGGGAGCATCGTGGATCCAAACACCCAAAGCGTCTCCACACTGTGCTGAGTCCTTGTCAGATTCCGCAGCTGGGTATCGATCCCTCTTCTCCCTGGTGTTGGGGGTGGGGCTACGACTTCTTCAGTCTTGTTGAAAACGATAAAAAGATAGCTAGAGCAGCTTGGACGGGCCCTATGCAGCCTGTATGCAGAGGCCGTTGGGCACCACAGTTCCTTTCAGAATGGAGCATGTGGGGAGGTGCCTTTGCAGGTCTGATGGCCACCCTTGGCTCCGGCCAGAAGCGATCAGGGACAGAAATCCTTAGTTTTTAGGTTTTAAGATTGCAGGAAGCGAGGGAAGGTATGGTAGGTTCCCTTTTCTTCCCCTGAAGTCCCAGGGAGGTGCCTCGCTGGTACAAAGATGCCGGGAGGCGTGGACGGGCTTGGACGTCCAGTGTCCCGTCAGGAAGCGGGACCGCCGTGGGGAGTCTCAGCAGACAGGAGCACCTTGTACTGAGAGCGTGGTGCCGGGCAGACGGGTGCGTTCTGCAGGCCTGAGCTCGAGCCTCTTCCGAGCGTGCAGCCCACTTCCCACGTTGGGCCTGACCCCCAGAGGGAACCCCTCCTGTCTTTCGTTTCAGTTCCCCCAACTCCTCTGCCAACCAATGATGTCGATGTGTATTTTGAGACCTCTGCAGACGACAATGAGCACGCTCGCTTCCAGAAGGCAAAGGAGCAGCTGGAAATACGGCACCGCAACCGAATGGACAGGGTAAACCTCGGCGCTCCCCTTACGCCCCTGAGGTGTGGCATCGAGTAATAGGGTTTCCATGGTTGAAGAAAAGGGACCCCATCCCCCCTGGATCGTCAGGCTGTGTTGCATGTGAGAGTTCAACAGGGCCACCTCTGGGCCAGCCTAGCCCCCTCCCCACCTCCCACCCCCTCATGATAATGTAATTACTCCGAGTGCTTATCAGTGCTCAGACTCTGCAGAGCACTCAGAGCACTTCCTGTAACCATTACATCTTGTTTTTCTTTGCTATTAACTAGCTTTTAAAATATTTTTGTATTTTAAGGAGGGAAACTTTATATCACTGTTGTAGATAGAAAGCTGGTATCGTTTGCCATTAGAACAGGTAACTAAAAACGTATTAGATAGGAGCAAACCTATGTTAACCTATTCTAGCGAGATTCTGTTGCCTGCGGAAGGTTCTCAGACTCCGCTGCTTTCTCAGAAGAGTCATAAGTGTTGGAGCAGCATGAGCACCCTAGTGCAGCTTCCTCCTGGAGTTACTCAGAAAGATCGAAAGAAAATTGAAAAGAGTTTTAGGTCTGAATCCCACCTAAAATCTCACATGTCACCGGTCCCGGGATTACACTTTTGGAAATGTGTGTTAAATCTGTTTTATCCACAACAGTTCTGAGAAGTATGAAACCCGCCTCCACCCCGCGTTTTATTAGTGCAAGGAGACTAAGGCACAAAGACTTCTGAATAACTTGCCTGAGGTTATAAAACCAGGAGGTCATGGCATTGAGGCTCTGTTAGGGATGGTAGTGGTCCAGGACCTTGTGAGCAGTAATTCTGTGAACCAGCTTAACCAGCGCTGAGCTCGTGAGGGGTCATATGATGGCGATTTCCATTTGCAGTTTTTCATATTAGATTCCAGGGCCTGCTATTATTAGGAAACGGGGGGGGGGGGTGGGATTGTTTCAGAGAGGATTCTCTGGTGATACTGGCCTTGACCTTTGTTCCAGGTAAAGAAGGAATGGGAAGAGGCTGAGCTTCAGGCCAAGAACCTCCCGAAAGCAGAGAGGCAGACTCTCATTCAGGTGAGATGCGTTCTCCAGGGACAGAGCCTCCAGCCTGGCCCTCCGAAACCCAGCCAAAGCCAAACTCCCAGGAAATTAGAGTTAGACACCTTTCAGTTGAGAGCTTATGTTACAGGGAAGTTTTGACTGGCCTGCTTTTATTTTATTTTATTTTATTTTATTTTATTTTATTTTATTTTATTTTATTTTATTTATTTTATTTTATTTTATTTATTTTATTTTATTTTATTTTATTTTATTTTATTTTATTTATTTTATTTTATTTTATTTTATTTTATTTTATTTTTTTATTTTATTTTATTTTATTTTATTTATTTTATAACCTTCTCATCTGCAAACTGGCATTCTCTAGAGTCGATCACCCACAGTAGAAGGAAAGCAGACCGACCAGAGCACACCTAACTCATGCCAGGAAGCAACCTTAGCTGGCTGTGTCTGTCAATTGTGCTCTCCTGACAAAAGTCCTCAGTCATCTTCATTCTGGGGCTGTGACTCAGTTTTCAGCAGTACTGAATTCCCTCCCCCCCTTTTATTTATATATAAAAATTTTTATTTATTTGAGAGAGTGTGCGAGTGCGTGGGTAGCTCATGTGAGTGCGGGGAGGGGGCAGGGGGAGACAGTCTTCAAGCAGACTCCCCTTTAGCGCAGAGCCCGAGGGGGGCACGGGGCTCGATCTCAAGACCCATGAGATCACGGCCTGAGCCAAAACCAAGAGTCTGACACTGAGTCGGCTGAGCCACCCAGGCATCCCCTGAATTCTTTTTTTTTTGCAGACGTCTTCAAAAGTCAAAAGGCAGACAATAAGACCCTCTGATCCCAGTTCATCTGTAACTTTGCAAGCCTGTAACATTAGAGTCCCAGCAGCAGCTGGGTCCCCGTTGAATAGATGAGAGTGTGGTAGTCCCAGGGAGAGCAATTTAGGTTTCATAAAACTGATTGCATTTTAAATCAGTTCGTGTTTATGATTCACTGAACTCTGTCTTCTTGTGATGTTAACACTTAATTGGAGCACCTTTCCTTTTGTGTCAGTCACCTAGGAAATCTGAATGTTAATTTCTATGCGGCCGGTGTATCCTGTGCAGGGAGAAGTAGTTTCAGGGCCTTCAACTTTACCCTTCCAGCGGCCAGATACTTGGCCTTCGGAACTTCAGTGTGGATGACTCCGCATAACCCTCCCCATTACTGGGATATGTTTCAAGATATGGCTCCTGTTGGTCTGCGTCTCGGGATTTGGAAGTGGGTGCCTCTGCTGTGGTGTGGAAAGGACAGCATCGCTTCCCTCACAGGGCACGTTGAGGAAGCCCACAATTGGGCTCGTGGCGCTGGTGATTTCCGTGCTGGCAGTGCCAAGGTGCACCCTGCCACTCTAATTTAACACACGCTCATTAGATAAGGAAGTCGTTTTTCTGACAGCAATCAGATAAAGTATACTTGGATCTCACCCTTGCTCCCCTCTGACCCTGTTATCGACTGGCACAGGCTCTGGGCAAGGAGAGGCAGCATTGGGGGCTCTGGCTGTTGGCTTAGATGTCTTCTAGGCGCCATGACTTACGTGTCTGTTCCTACTTTCTTGGTTTAGCACTTCCAAGCTATGGTTAAAGCCTTAGAGAAGGAGGCAGCCAGTGAGAAGCAGCAGCTGGTGGAGACCCACCTGGCTCGAGTGGAAGCTATGCTGAATGACCGCCGCCGAATGGCTCTGGAGAATTACCTGGCCGCCTTGCAGTCCGACCCCCCGCGGGTGAGTGGTGTGCGGAGCCCTGTCTCTGATGAATGCTAGCCTCAGTGTTCCTGCTGTAACGTAGGGCATGTGTCGAGCCTACGCGTGATGACACGCAGGTCAGCAAACACATGACACTTTTAAGACAAATTCTGGTGAGGCTGAAGGAGAGAAAGGAAGAAGAATGGGGAGGAAACTGTATTATGTCACCTTGGCCTTACACCTGCTGCTTGCATGTGCCACCTGGAGATGGAAGTGTCTTACAATGGAAAAGCATAACCTCAGGGTACTGGTTGGTAGTTACTCAATTACTGAATTATTTTGTAGTAGCTTTACTTTTAGAGAATAAAAAAACATGCCTTTCAAAGCTTTTGAACTTGCTCTGTTCTAAATAAGATTAGGAAAAAAGAGGTAAAGGAATTTACATCGAAGCCCTGTGTGGAAGTGTGGTCTCACACTTGTTTATCCCTTAACTCTAACCTACTTTACTTTGGGGGAATGGAAAGTAGGATATTGGTGTTATTCTTAAGTGAGCAAGTAAAGGCTTTCCTGGATGACGCAGGGATTGCCTGCCTTGTAATCAAGGTGTCAGGCACTGAGCTCAGGAGAGAGGACAGATTGAGCAGGAGAGTGGGCTACAGACTCTGGAAGACTGCTGGTTAAGGAGCCAACATAAGCTTGGAACTGTATGTAGTTTTTGGTACGTAGTTTTTACATAGAAAGGTAGTTTCTTAATACTTGGTGAACTTAAAAGCTTTAAAAAGCACAGCTTTCATCCTTGTGCCCGGCTGGGCTTTACATTCCTAGGTGAGTGTTTTGCAGCTTTGCTTTCCTGCCTGTTTTCATTCTGTGGTCTCTGGATCTTAAAACTACTGTTCTCTCTTGCAGCCTCATCGCATTCTCCAGGCCTTGCGGCGTTACGTCCGCGCTGAGAACAAAGATCGCCTGCATACCATCCGTCATTACCAGCATGTGTTGGCTGTTGACCCAGAAAAGGCAGCCCAAATGAAATCCCAGGTACACCAAAGTAGAAATTGCGGCGGGAGAAGGTCTCTAGCGGGGGGCACTCTAACTTTGTCCAGTGGTCGGGCAGCCCTGATAGTTGTGCTTAAAAAATGATAAATGGTTTCTTTCCAAAGACATTATTAGGTTACAAGAGTTGGTTTTGCAGAGATCCTAGTTTTAAAAATATGTTTTCCATATTTTCTTCTATTAAGTCATTTCTACTTAAAGCCTTTCTGGAAGCTTAAGAATGCACAATTGAATTGAAGAGATAAGGCAATTTCTCAATCTTTTTTATATCTGTTTACTTCTGATTTGGGGTACCACCAGAATTAATATTTGAAGTCTTTTTCTAGGCAACTATACCAAGCAGTTCTTAAAAATTGGTCTTTTTTGTTTTGTGCATTAGTTTTAGTTGGGACACACACACATTCTTGGGTTTTGTTCCGTGCGGGATCCAGCTTTCCTTTATAGTCGTCCGGAGAGGACTATTTCTGGACCCTCTTTTTCATTTCAGTATTGTCTGTGTGTTAAGTCGTGTTTTACTCTCTTGTATTCGTAGAAAAGAAGCCTGCCTGCAAGACTGTTGGCTTCCTTATAAACCAGCAAGTCTAGTAGCTTAGCCTATTGGGCTTTGTAATGACATAACAGATCTGACCTAATTTCCTCCCATATTGTAATTTAAATATGGTACTTTACGTAGAAAGGTAGTTTCTTACTACTTGGTGAACTTCAAAGCTTTAAAAAGCACAGCTTTCATCCTTGTGCCCGGCTGGGCTTTACATTCTTAGGTGAGTGTTTTGCAGCTTGCCCAGTGTCCATGGGATGCGCTCACCCGTGTGCACACTTGCCCACCTCCCCAGCAACTCCCCTCCCAGCCTCACGCTGTGTGTGTTATTAGGATTGTGAGGCCATCTGCGCAAAGTCCTGGGAGTCTGGCAACTGAGGTGGGCTACTCCCTTGGTTCAGGAGTTTGTGTGCCTACTGTCCACATGCCAGACTCTGCACTCACATCTGACCTTGCAAAGTTGAACCCTGGAGCAACTCACCATCAGTATAGTATTAATTATAGTAGCTGTAAAGATGAAGAATAACTATCCTTAAACATGCAAAGTCGGCTTCAACAGTCAGATGCTGGGTAATCAGGGGAATGAGAAGAATGGGAGAATATGGACAGGGATGGCTCTGGGGACCCCAGGAGGCACCTGGTATGGGCCTGCAGCTTTGCTTTAAGCTGGTTGGAGTAGAAGAGAAGGCAAAAGGCCAAATCCTAGAGGAGCTTCCAGGAAGTGTAGATGGAACAATGCATCCATCTTGACAGGGGGTAGATTTTTCAGGTCTACTTGGTTTTTTGAAAACAAAACCCAAAAACATGACATTTTTTCAGATTTTTTTTGTGGAAAAACTAGATTATCATGTAATACTTTACAGAAGAAGAGCCATTTTTGTATGGTCTGAGAACAACAGAAGGAAAGGAGAGCCCTCGATCAGTGTATTAAATTAACAGCTAGGGAATGAGTTGTCTGCCAGCAAGATCACAGCGCCACACCAGATGGCATGGGAAGTGGAACTCTCTCCCTTCTTAGCAGATCTCGGGGAAACACCCAGCTCTCCTCTGTGATATTTGCTCTGTGCTCTAAGCCCTTAATTCTAGTGATTCTTGGCTGCTGAATTACATGAACTTTTGCATGTTCCCTTGTTGTATTATCTACACTTTAGAGAATGCTGAATATGCTCAGCCTATTAGAGCGTGTGTGTTGGGTCTGGGGTGAGTGGTATGGTGCCCTGACCCCTCGTGCTGCAGCCCAGGGGCTCGCCGCGAAGATGCTACGTCCAGTATCCCACCCTGTGGTTCTTGTTTCTCCTGGGGGCATATGAACCGTCCTCAATCAAATGGCCCCTTAAATTCATCTGAAGTATAACAACGTCAACATGCACGAAGACTGCTGGTGGTGCCTTTTCAGTCTCTATTTGCATTTTCTATCTAAGGCACTTAGTCTTGTGCTTTCCCATCAATTTACTTGATTGAAAGAATGGCAAATATAAAATTAAATTGCTTTCATCCCTGCTTTTAAAGGTCAGAGAGACATCAATCTACAATAAAAGCATCTTTCCATTTAATTTTTTTCCATTTTGACCATGCTAATGGCTTCAAGCCCACGTAAGTAATCGCTGGACTTAAAGCACCCTCTTTAGGATGAGCCTGGTAACTGCAGGTCCTGAAGTAGCTGGCGTTGAGCTACAGCAACAGGCGGATTGTGGCCTTGGGGTGGGTGTTAGCCCACATCACCTTTCGTTTCTCTCTCTCTCTCTCTCTCTCTCTCTCTCTCTCTCTCTCTCTCTCTTTTCTTTCTTTCTTTCTTTCTTTTCTTTTCTTTTTTCTTTCTTTGAATTTTACATTGATGCAATGTTTGTTTTTTTAAAAGATTTTATTTATTCATTCATTCATGAAAGACAGAGAGAGAGAGGCAGAGACACAGGCAGAAGGAGAAGCAGGCTCGGCTCCATGCTGGGAGCCTGATATGGGACTTGATCCCAGGTCTCCAAGATCATGCCCCGGGCCAAAGGCAAGTGTTAAACCACTGAGCCACCCAGGGATCCCATCACCTTTCATTTCCACCCCAAAAAAGCTTTAAAAGTAAATGATCAGTTGTGATGGCTTTTTTTTTTTTTTTCCGTTTTTAAAAAATAACAACCTGGAACTGTTTCATTCAGAGAAGGTAGTAAACTGTGTAAGACAGATGGTAGGTAAGTGTTCCTTTATCACCCCCCTAAAATCAGGTTCACTTCTATCTCAGTGTAAATTTTTGAAGGAAAAAGTAATTCAGTTAAATATGAATAAACTAGCTCTATTATTTACCATGATAATCATTTCAAGCAATTACTTCACTAAGCAAATCCATGAATGGCCCCTTCTCCCTGCAAATCCACTTTTTAGCCAGTGATTTGATTCTTATTTTACCCCATCTAATCTGACCAGTGGTAAAAATGGACTGTTTCTATCTTTCACTCAGCAGAACCTTACCGAGTATCTGGCATAGTATGAATTACTCTTTTACACCCAACAAGTAAATTAGGAAGTGCCTCATATAAAAATCAAAATCAGGGATGCCTTGGTGGCAAAGCATTTGGGCGTCTTCTTTGGCCCAGGGCGTGATCCTGGAGTCCTGGGATCGAGTCCCACGTCAGGCTTCCTGCGTGGAGCCTGCTTCTCCCTCTGCCTGTGTCTCTGCCTCTCTCTCTCTGCCTCTCATGAATAAGTAAATGAAATCTTTAAAAAAAAAAAAAATCAAAGTCAGTAACTGCCTAGTGAAAGTTTTTAAAGTTTTTTAACTTGGAGTGTTCTCTGGATAAGTGCTCAGATCACCAATGGGTATCACACACAGTCTGGGCACACTCCTTACCTGAGGGTTCGCTTCCTATGGCCTGGAAACAAGTGACCCTTCCCCTGAGGTATCATCAGGGGCTCAGTAGCTTAACCTCATGTCTCAGTGCCTACGTCATTCCCCTCACGTGATCTCCTCATGTCATCACAAGAAGGGTGAGTACAGCACAAGAAGGTATTGAGAGAGAGAGACACCACGTTAAGCAACTTTCATTATAGTATAATTGTTCCTACTTGTTATTACTTACTATTAGTCTTTTATTATTACTTGTTAAAATTGCTTGGTTTCTAATTTTATTTTAGGTATGTCCACACAGGAAAGAAACCTCGTACATGCGGGGCTCAGTATTACCTGCAGTTCGAGGTGTGGGGTGGAGGTCTTTGAACGTATGCCTCACGGATGAGGGCGGCCTCTTGTACTGCAGGGGCCAGCAAGTAGGGTGGGGATTAATATGTTTCCCCTGACCACCTGCTTTGCTGGGCTCTGCAGAGCATATACTTTTGCAGCTGATCTTTGTGGAAGCGTGTGTCTGCAAGCCGCCTCCGGGCCCAGCTCTGTTGGTAACAGGGCCTCTCCACCATGCTCTTCCCCCAGGTGATGACGCATCTCCATGTGATTGAAGAAAGAAGGAACCAAAGCCTCTCACTACTCTACAAAGTACCTTATGTAGCCCAAGAGATCCAGGAGGAAATTGGTGGGTGCTGTGTTTGTATCGAAGTCCAGTGGGACTTCTGGCCGAGGCTCTGGGGTGGCAGCAGAGCAAGATTAGAGAAACCGGGACAGCCAGGCCAGGAAGCCGGGCATTAGCACGCTGGGGTTTAAGCCTGGAATGCACTGGAGCTTATGTGGCAAGGTCAAGGAGTAAGCCAGGGCAGGTGGGCAGGCTGTGAGCCACAGAGCTTTGAGTTTCTTGACCTTTACTCTGTTACCGGAAGGGAAAAAAAAGTCTAGGGTGTGAAATCGCAAGGGACCGGGGAACTTCCTGTTGCCCTTTCCCCCTTAATTTCTGGTGCATTTCAAGGCACCTGTTTTATACACATTCTCACTTCCCCTCCCTCTTGTGCTCTTCATCTTCATGTATTTGGCAAATAGTTACGTGTCCACTGTCCACCATGTGTCACAGAGTAAAATGGTGCACAAGGAGACAATGTATCCTGGAGATGATGTTAATACAGGGGAAACAGGAAAACAAGACAAGGAGTGCCACGTGGGGGACAAAATAGTTGGTGTATGGTGGAGCATGGCTGGGGGGTCAGGGAGGCTGTCTTGGGCACAGGAACCCGAGAGCCACATGAGGAGGAGGAGCCACCCACACGAAGATCACGAGGGGAAAGACATTGTTAGCAGAGGGCATGACGACTGCACACGCCTGAGCTTTAAGTCAGTGTGGCCAGAACACATGGAGAAATGGGGCCAAAGAAGTTGGCAGAGGCCAGTTTGTTCAGAGATTTTAGCAAAATCAAGGAGTTTGGGTTTTAATCCTAGGATAATGGAAAACTGATAGAGGGTTTTAAACTAGGGAGTGACTAGATCTGTACTTTGCTTTAAAAAAGGATGTGAATTTAAAAAAAAATTACTTGGCTGCTGTGTGCTATTAAAATTAGAAACCTGCCAGGAAGCAATTGTAAAAATCCGGGTAAAAAATGCTGGTAGTGGGCGTTTGACGGTAGTGGAGGAAAGAGAGATGTGGGGAGCTTTGGGACATGACATGTTGCAGAGGAGGGGTGAGCGGGGCGTGCGGGCAGTGAGGGTAACGCCCGGGCTTCCATCAGCCGCAGAGTGGGCGGTGGGGCCGCACTGCACTGAGGGGAGCCGGGAGCGGTCTCTTCATGCATGATGAAATTGAAGTTGCTGGAGCTTAAGGAGAGGGTGTGTGGGGTGGGGGGGCATTCGAGGAGCCAGAGGTCAGGGCAGCAGGGAGGAGGTACAGGTTTGGGGGTCACGGGCTGTGGATGGTGCTTAGGACAGCGCTGAGGGTGAAACTACCCAACCGGAGTGGGTCCCTAAGGAAGAGAGGCAGGCCCACATGGGCCCCCGTGCAGGTCTGCGGTGCTATGCGGTCAGGGTGTAGGTAGGAGGGGTTGTCCCCACGGCAAGGGCAGCTGGCGGTGGCCCTGCAGCAGATCGTGCGTTCTGTGATGACCCGCGTCAGCCTCCATCACGCCCGTGGCCTTCTGAAAGCCGGGCCCTGCCATGTCTGTCTTTGTCAGACGAGCTACTTCAGGAGCAGCGCGCAGACATGGACCAGTTCACCGCCTCCATCTCTGAGACCCCCGTGGACGTCCGGGTGAGCTCCGAAGAGAGTGATGAGATCCCGCCGTTCCACCCTTTCCATCCCTTCCCATCCTTACCTGAGAACGAAGGTGCGTATGATCGATAGTGCGCCTACCTGGCAGGCGGGGGGGGGGGGGGGGGGGCGGCGGTTAGGACACGGCAGGTGGACGTTTGAACTTGGGTGTGCCAAGGAGGCAGTGGCCCTGCTGACAGCCAGATCCGCTGAGCCCTGACTGCAGGCACCATGCTGGGCGCCTGCACGTTGATGGCCTTAGTATCCCCGTGAGGTGAGTAACCTCCCCCCCCCCCCCCGTGGGTGGTTTGTGTGAAACCCTCTCTTTTTCCTGGTCCTGTCAGCTGCCTCCAGGATGTGTGACGCCTTGCATGTGGAAGTCCCTTAAATAGCACTGTCATGTTATATGAGGTCATTAGCTTTTCATAACACGGGGTGGGGGGGCAGGCAGTGGAGAGGCCACAGAGGTGGCCTGACATGCTCAAGGTGACACCTCTCGTACGGGGGGGTGGGGTTGGGGGGTGACCAGAGGCCATGTCCCTCTGACTCCCGCTCTGGCATGCTTGCTTCTGTTCCGCTGCTGGTTCTCGGTGTCTAAAAGGATCTTTAAAAGCTGTGGGTCTGCACCAGAAATAAACTGCCGAGCCTGGTGCCCTGAGACCAGGGTGTGGAAGCAGCAGTTTGCTACTCTTGCTGCTGACGGCGGTGATGGGGGGAAAGTAGTGGATAGAGTCCTCATCGGATGCCGCTCTGGCTAAGCTGGTGCCCAGGTGCTCTCCTTGAGTCCTCATAGGGAGCCCTCTTGGCTAGGTCCTGGGGTGTCCTCATGGGTCCTGGGTGTAGGCAGATAGAGGTGCAGTCTCTGCCCAGGTGGAGAGTAAGGATTTGAACCCCTGCACTCCTGGGCACGGTCACCTCCCCTGATCAGATGCAGCCTTGGTGGAACAGAGGCCTGAGGAAGGTGCCAAATGCGGGCAACGGGGACATCCAGCATAGCCTTCAGACCCTGACACGTCTTCTGAACTGGACACCCCAGAAGTACCAGCTCCGTACGGCTGGCCCTGCAGTAATCAGAATCTGAGAAGGGAGCCAGATAAATAAAGAGCTACCACTTTGTTCCTAAGCCCTGCACTTAAAAATCCCGGACTTCCCGGGCCTGTAGGGTGGCCACGCTGATGTACCTTATTTGGGGTCAGGGCACCTCGGATGGATCCAAACTGGAGTCTTGTCTCCTTGTCAGAAAACCACAGTCCATACTAACTATATTTTTGCTTTTCCCTAAGAAAAATAACTTTGGGGAAAAAGAAAAAGAAAAATAACTTTGTGGGCTCAGCTCTGAAGAGCTTGGAAATCTCCCCAACACCCCCCCCCCCCCAACGACCCAAGGCAGACCTTTTTCTTTCTCTCCTGCCTTCCAGTCCCTATGCTGCGGACCTTAACTGCTAGTTGGTTTAATGGGATATTTCAGGCATGTTTTTAAGGAAGGATACAATACCTCTTCACGTTATAGAGAAATTCTAAGATCAGAATTTTGAAAGACGCCATTTTCTTTCTTAATCTCCTTTTTTGTACTATTTTTTGTTTGTTTGTTTTCCTTTCTGCTAGACACTCAGCGGGAGTTGTACCACCCAATGAAAAAAGGTTGGTCCGTCAAAGATGTTCCCTTTAAGACCTCATTCCTCTTCACTTCCCCCGTGTGTCAGGAGTTTCATTCTCTGTGTCATACCATCACCTGAGATTTTTCCACCTCATTTCCTCAGACGTGGCTGTGAGCGGAGCCAGAGTAGCCCCAGGTGCAGGGTTATAAGGTGGCCACCCCACACCTTCCTTCTGCATGGCCGGACAATACAGAGTAACCAAAACCAGATATTCTCATGAAACATTTTCATCTGGGTAGATTTTCAAATGTATATGCAACTTAGGTTGGCTGGAGTTACTAATATATCTAAACCTACGCGGGGACGCCTGGCTGGCTCAGTAGAGCACATGCCTCTTGACCTTGGGGTTGGGAGTTCAAGCCCCACATGGGAGTGTAGAGTTTACTTAAAGTCTTAAAAAAAAAAAAATGCTTACTTTAGGGGCAGGTAGAGAGTCGCTTTCTTCTACCTCTTTGTATTCCCCATCTGCTGCTGCTCCCTCCTGCTACATCCTTCCCTTCCTCTTAGCTGTGCCTGACCCTTTGTGGTGCCCACCTGCCTGTTGCCACCTGTCTCCTGTCCTGAGTTGTGGCTCCTCAGAAGCTGCTGGACGGCACAGGTTGCGACAGGTGAGCTCGCGCTCCACGGTCGTGAGCGTCTGAGCTCCACAACAGGCTGGACCCTGCAAGCACTTTGCTGAGCGCCTCTTGTACTTGGTTTCACTGGATGCACTGGGCACGCCGATGGCCTGGTTTTCAGCTCTGACAGATCGGGTGGTCCAAGAAGCCTCAGACCGAATTATTTGCTCGGAGTCACGACTTTGAGGAGCAGAGGAATTCGAATTTGAACCCCAGCTCCTTTGTCTTCAAAGGCCCTGCTGCTTCTGTCCTGTAAAATGCTGCTGAATTACCCTGGCTTGCTCCTTAGTCTGCAGTCCTGGGGTCGCTGTGAGAAGTGCATACGTTTCAGCGCTTTGTGTTTTATGAGGCCCCCCCACCCCCACCCCCCACCAGCTCCAGAGGACCATGGACAGACCTCATGGTGTTCTCTAATAATTTGATGCAGAGGAGTGCGATTTGAATCTAAAAATCACTTAGGGGTAAATGCTTGATTTTCTTCTGCTTGGATAAGCCTCCTCCTGGTGATGCCGGTGTTCCCTTTCCTCTCAACAGCCCCTCTTGGATTCTTAGGGGTAGAGGTGAGTTTCCTAGAAGCTTACCTGGCTTTCGCCCTCATGCTTCAGTTGTTACTAGTTGGAATAATTTAAGCGTTAATTTTTCTTCTCCCGATGTCACTTGTTTATGCCTTCTCTGAAGCCAAATGGTTTTGGTCAGCGTTTAAGAAAACATGTGGCTTGTTCCCACCAAAGGCGCGTCAGAGCAGCCGAGGCTACTAGTAGGACTTTATGTTAGTTGGTTCAGTGCCATGTTATTTTTCAAATAGGATCCTGCCCTATGACCTGTAAAGTCTGGAGGAGGAGAGGGAGAAGGATGGGAGGATTAGAATTTCCTAGGCTTGCTCATCCGCATCCTTGCTGAGGCAGCAGCTCTCCAGGTGCCTCTTGCTCACATGGTCGGGGTACAGCGTCCCTGCTCCAGTGGCACTTAGAGGCTAGAGAGCCAGCCCTGATCTAACTTAAACTGGAATCAAGTTGTGAAATTCCTCTTTACAATGAAAGCTTAGGAAAGACCAGCCATATGTCGGGCTGCACGCCCGGCACCTGTGGTGGCTACGACTCCTGGCCCTGGTCAAGGGCGAGGGTGGCTGCGAGCTGGAAGGCTTCGCTGGGGCCGGGCCCAGGTGTCACCGTCTGCGCCCGGCCAGCCCAGCGGCGGCAGTGCGTGCCATATCCTCGTGTGGGAGGCTCCCTCACATGCTGGTGGTCCCCTTACAATGCCGAGCGGGCCGGCAGGTTGATCTGTTTATGGAAGGTTCAAAACCCAGACCTTTGTACAGAACCGTATATCTTATTAAAAAACTCCTAGGATAGCTAGACGTCACATGCTTTTTGAAGCTAAAAATGAGGGTGGCTCGTCACTTCTCCTCCACCTGGGTTTGCACTTGCTTCCGCCACGTCACATCTTTGGATACTGTCATTTGGGGCGCGGCGCACAGGGGATGTTGGCCCCGGCGATGTCCCACCTTGACAAGAGAAGCGGTGAGTCCTGCTCCATTTGTAGATGGGACCGTCCACCTCGCGTTCAGCTTCTCCCTGTCTGTGGAATGCTTCCTTCCTGTTTATTCTCTGGTCACCATCAAAGATGTGACCCCCTCAATCCACGCCCTTAGAGGGTTACAGGCCAGGGGGACACACAGAGGAAGCTGCGTGAGGAGAAACAGGCGCTGGAGTGCTGAGGGCGGGGAGCGTCTCCCACGAGGGGCTGCGGCTCAGGGACAAGCGGGATGTGTTGGAGGTCGGGGGGGCGGGGTCAAGCAGAAAGAACCGCCTGTGGGATAAAACCCAATGCTCGAGGCAGACCTGCAGATTCCCTGCCGCTGTGCTGGGTCCTCTGTCCCGAGGGAGCCCAGGCTGTCGAAGGGCCGGCTTGTGGGGCGATGGGCACGCGGCGGCAGCGTCACATATCTTTCTGTGCTAGAAAGCCTCTGGGCTCCACTAGTGTTTGTCTCACAGTAAACATTGTCTTCTGAAGGCTGGCATTCCATTTTTCCAAGTTGGACATCCGTTGAGCACCCTGTCCTCGTCCATTGTACCCATCAGTCCTCTGCAAACTGCCTGCACCCTTCATCCTTCTAGAGCACACGGGGCATCCTTGGCACGGGAACGAAGTCGTGCGTCACGTAGCCGGGTGGGGCTGTGGGACGGGGAGGTGACCAGGAGGGCTCCCCGGCCCCCAGGACCGAGCTTGCTGTGAGGGCGGCATGGGCCAGGCCGGGGAGCGCTCAGCCGTGACCTCTCTCCACAGGCTCTGGAGCGGGAGAGCAGGACGGAGGGCTGATCGGTGCCGAGGAGAAAGTGATCAACAGCAAGAATAAAGTGGATGAGAACATGGTGAGCCGCTTCTCCCTCCTGCCCTGCCCTCGCTGAATTTTGAGACTCATTAGAGTGAGTGGCACCGTTTTAGACCCTCTCCAGATGAACCTCCATGTGTTCGCTCTCCGTATGCTGGGAGATGGGTGGGCTCCAACTGCTCCCACGAGTTTGTCGTATTGTTTAGCATCTGGGCGTGAGAAGGAATAAAGAATTAATTCTCAGCAGTAGCTCATCCCTTGCTATACAGCGGGGGAGACACATTTGCAACTACAGATATGAATAAAATATGAGAGGCCATTTCCAAGCGAGTACAGAGATTTAATAACTTGAAAATGGAATAGAGTCGACATTGGTTCTATCGCCTTAGGTTTATACCCCACTATTATTCTTCTAGCATTTTCTGTCACTGGTATTTCTGGGTCATCCTCGCCTGAGTGACTCCTTGGCAATCTGTCCTGCAGTGTCTCCCCATGACCGTTACCTCAGGGAGGATGCGGGTGAAAGCCCTGGGGAGCCAGCCGTGACACACTGGCCTGTGTCCACACTAGCCTCCCCCTCTAAGGGTTTGGTGACTCGATGTAGAGGAATGGGATGGAACGGCTTGGGTCGTGGGTGTCCTCGGGTACCAGGTAGTGAATGGAGTAGAAAAGAAGCGGTTCCACTTGTACTAAATGTCTCCCCTTCCACCCAGCTGCTGATATTTTCATGCTGTTTCAGGTCATCGACGAGACTCTGGATGTTAAGGAAATGATCTTCAATGCCGAGAGGGTCGGCGGCCTGGAGGCAGAGCCGGTACGTGCTCAGCTCCAAAACCTAACTGCCAGGTTTCTCGTGGCTCTTGGCTGCTTCTCTCCCTCTTCGTTTCATGTGGGAAACAGAGAGATGTCAGGTGTCCCAAGTGATTGGGGGCCCCATCCCCATTTTTCTGTACTTTTGGATAAGAGAGCTGAACCTAGGATCTCCATGGAGACTGGAAGAGTGGGAGTTCTCTCGATGGGGCTGGTTAACCGGGAAGCGGGCTCCTAGAGGTCCCTCGGGTTTCAGAGTCACGACTCCGGAAGCGTGGCCCTCATGGAGCACGCATGTCCGCCCCCTGCTCGCTGGGTCTCGTGTGCAGGGTCACCAAGACCTTGTCCCGCACGTGCTTTGTTACTGTAGGAATCCGTGGGGCCGCTGCGGGAGGACTTCAGTCTCAGCAGCAGCGCGCTCATCGGGCTGTTGGTCATCGCCGTGGCCATCGCCACGGTCATAGTCATCAGCCTGGTGATGCTGAGGAAGAGACAGTACGGCACCATCAGCCACGGGATCGTGGAGGTGAGTGGCCTCCAGCTGGTGACGGTTTGCCCGGTGCTGTTGGGGCGGTTCATGGAATTCCGACGCCTCCGCACGTGGGTGCCGCGCTCCAGGTAAATTCCCCACCGCGTCCTTAGGTCGTGTTTTGGAAGCCCGTCCCCAGTGAACTAAGTTGGTCCTCTCACATCTTAACGTTAGTTTGGGCTCTGGCTGTGAACCTGAGAAAACTGCAAGAGCGTCTTCTGCCGCAGAGGGTGAAAGCTTTTCTCAGATGATTTCTTGAGTGTTCTCTTCTTTCCGGTATGTTTAGGTAGTTGAGAATGAGGACTGTCGATTACCCTTCTTTCTTTTGGTTTTTGTTGTTGATCTTTTTTTTCTTTCTTCTTTTGAGGAGCAAACCGGGTATGTGACAGATCAGGTGACAATGGCAATCATGAGTGAACTACATGTTAAAAGTATGAAATAGAAGTAATAGTCTTTTTTTAATGGGGGGAAAAAGCAACAGGAAACTTAGAGCCCAGAGCAGACTGTTTCTGTTCCGTCTTCTGCCGATTCATAATTAGAACTGCTTACGACTCATTTTGAGGTGGGTGATGGGAACATCCAGAGGTTCTCGGTTCCAGAAAACAAAAACAATAAGGAACGTGAGGTGCTCTGGAAGATTAGTTCGGATGTGTGTCTTAGTGACATGGTTTCACCTCCCATGGCACACTGGCCTCGTAGTAGAATTCCTGAGCTGGGAAAGACCCCGCAGATGGTCCGGTCCCGTTTCTGATTTCACAGGGATGGCTCGCCTGGGCCGTCCCGAATAGCAAGTAGCAGAACTGAGACCGGGTTCTGCTGTGGTGCGAGGAAATTCAGTTCATTCTTTTCTTGAGCTCGGACTCAGCTTTTAGGACTCCAGTTTTCAGAAGCCTCCGTGACCCCCTTCTTTTCTTTCTCCTCCTCCTCCTCTGTCCTCACCACCAGCTCTTGTTGGTCTGCCCAGCAGCAATCGGACACCGGGATGATTTTCGTTCCCAGGGGATTGCGCAGCAAGCGGCCCAGTCTTCTGGTCTCCGGGGCAATTCTTGTTTTTTAAACATTTTATTTATTAGAGAGAGTGAGCGAGCACAGGGGAGGGAGGGGGGGCAGAGGGAGAAGCTGAGCAGGGAGCCCACCTCGAGGCTGATCCCAGGACCTGGGGACCATGATCCAAGGGGAGCACAGATGCCCAACTGACTGAGCCACCCAGGTGGCCTGCTGTGCGATTCTGTTTCGGTCCAGTGCAGTGATCTCCCATCCTCGTCCCTCCAGGTTGACCCAATGCTCACCCCAGAAGAGCGTCACCTGAACAAGATGCAGAACCATGGTTATGAAAACCCCACGTACAAATACCTGGAGCAGATGCAGATTTAAGCAGGAGAAAGCACGCAGCACCACCGGTTGGCGCAGGGTGGTGCAGGTGGGCCAGGAGAGGTCCGGCATTTGGGATCAACTACTGACCAGCAGTTGCTTCCAGAGGATTTCACCTTCCGTTCAGACCTCCTGGATCATTAAGACTATAAAGTACTACTGTAGAATCACAATTTCCATTCTTTTAAATGGGTGAAAAATGTTAATATAACAATATATGATATATAAACCTTAAATGAAAAAAAAATGATCTATTGCAGATATTTGACTGATGTAGTTTCTTTTTTTAAATTAATCAGAAATCCCACTTCTATTGTATTGTCTCACATATGCTCTCTAAATGGAAATGTTGGTTTTTGGTGATAGACTGTATACGCAGGCCGCTCCAGCCGCATTGTATAAATCACTCTTTAAGGCTCATTCACTGTCCTGGTTTTTCTTAGGGAAAAAAAAAAAAAGCAGCAGCAGCTAAGGCATTATTCCCTTGTTAAATGAGCTAGCTCTGGGGAAGTTGCCCAGAAACCAAGTGTGATAGGGAACCGTAATCGACGGCCATTCAAGCTCATCATGAGACCCTCGCAAAGTTCTCTCAGAAGTCGCGTTCCCAGCACTGGGTACCCTGGTGTCAGCACGGAAGTTACAGGCGTGAGTCCGGCGTCCTTTGGCGAGCCCAAGGTAGACCGCTGAGGGCACCCGCACTGCTTTCCTTCTAAATCCAGCTCTTCCACAGAAGTTAGCCTCTAGTCTGTGTGTGACGCTCTCCCGCTGTCTGCCGTTGACCTGCCGTAGCCTGTTCCTGCTCACCGCCCTCCAAGTGATGTCCGGATGTGCTGTCTTTCCCTCTTTGGACACTTTGCCCCCCGAAGGCACTGGCCCTCGGCCCTCCCCGTTGGACCCTGACCCCTCTGCGGCCCCCCTCCCGGCACCAGCCCCCCAGCTGTTCAGGAGCCCAGCGGGGGGCTGGCTAGTGTGCGCGAGGAGGACCCTCCACGTTGTACACGAAATGCTCTGTAGACACCGTGGAAAGCTTTGGAGATTGTTTCCTTCCCCCAAGTCTTTGTGATGCTTGTATAGTTGAGGATGCTCACAGTTTTTTTTTTTTTTTTCTTTTTCTTCTGTTCTTTTTTCCTTTCATTCTTTTTCTTTATTTTTCTTTTATTTTAGTCTGAAGGTTCTGGTAACCTGTGGTGTATTTTTTCCTATTTCCCTGTAACTTTTTTTTTCTTCTTCTTCCTCCCCTTCACCTTATCCATGTGTCTTCCCACTATGCACAGATAAACTTCACCTACAAACTCCTTAATCTGATCTGTGGAGAATGTACAGTTTAAACACATCAATAAATACTTTAACTTCCACCAAGACTCCTTGTGTCATTGGCCTGGTGTTAATCTGCAGGGATGGATTTCACTGTCCTGCCTTCCGCGCTCCGGGGGCCCGTCCTTCCCTCGAGGGCCACCGGCTGCACCCTTCAGGGGCAGGAATCCGACCACTCAAGCAAGTTGGGCTCTTGGACTTGAATTCCATTTTTTCATGGAAGAACTAAGGGAAGGACACCTGGCCGGCTCAGCCGCTGGAGCGTGTGACTCTTGATCTGGGGTTGTGAGTTCAAGCCCTGAGCTGACTGTCAGGATGACTTAAAATGCCAGTATCTATTATTTGTCTAAGGGCAATATTTGTCTAAGGGAAATTTCATTGTGTCCTTTAATGACTTCCTCCACCATATTTTATGTTTTCTAAAATGCTAATTTGGTTAAACCTCAGACTTCCCAGATTGCTTCTTTGTCCTTAAAATTTGTTTAAATTTCTTTGATATGTTGTTTTGGTTTTATAATCTGAGTGACTGCTTTGCCTTTATCTTGCAGCCATTTTTGTGAATTTTGTAAAGTTTGAAATTTCAGAAGATTTGCTTATTTTACTATTTTTAAGATTTTATTCATTTATTTAACAGAGGGAGTAGGAGAATCAGAGTCCCCACCAAGCAGGGAGCCCAATGCAGGGGCTCGATCCCAGGACCCCGGGATCATGACCTGAGCTGAATGCAGATGCTTAACCGACTGAGCCACCCAGGTGTCCCCTTGACTATTCTTTTTTTTTTTTTTTTTTGACTATTCCTTTTAACATCCCCTTTCATTACGGCAAATCTGAGTTTATACATGAGATTTTTAAAAGTTAAGTTACATGTCCTTTTGGCCGTTGATTTCCTGTAAATGATGTAGCAATCACTTATTTGATCATGGTTAAAAAAATAAGAGGGACAGTTAGTCGAGAGTTTTGTAAAACTACGCAAACTTGAATTTGGGCTACTGATACTTGTTTAAAAGATTTTTAAAGTTTATTCATGAGAGGCAGAGAGAGAAGCAGGCTCCCTGCAGGGGGCCTGATGCAGGACTCGATCCCAAGACCCCAGGATCACGACCTGAGGCCATGGCAGACGCTCAACCGCTGAGCCACCCAGATGTTCCAGGCTACCGATATTCATTTATATGAGACTTTTATTTTTGGTCCTGGAAGCCGTGAGCACAGCTTTGGCCGGATTTCCAGGGAAGTATTTCCAGCCTTGACGTGTTTCTTTAATGACCTGCCACCAGGAGGTGCTGTTTTCTCATTGAAGGAGGTTTGTTTACCTGACCTCTGCTTCTAGTACTTTGTGCCTTGGGTGGTTTTCACTAGTGATTTAGTGTTGTTAGTGTCTGGCTACGTGTGTAAGAGTACACTCGGGCCAATCCTAGAGTCCTCACCCCGGTGGAGTGGAGCGCCAGCTTACATACATGGTGCAGTCAAGCTAACCTTGCGTGCAGGTCTGCAAACATCCGTGTGTACCTCTATGACGCCTGTACTTGGCTTAGGGTTCTAGAATATAATGAATGTGCATCTGAGGAACCTAGGGCCAGGAAGCACCATGGGACGAACCAGTAGAACAGGCCAGTTCTTTGTAACCATCAGCACTTCCCCTATCTGCCTCTTCTTCCTCTGTGGCCTCTCAGATTGCTGCCAGGAAAGTCCTGGAAAAAAAAAATGAAACTTTTAATTTTCAAAGCCAGTTTCTGCCGGAGTGATCTCAAAAGTGTTGTCACTTGACCTTCTGCAGTATCAGCTGGAACGTGTAGATGGAGCATTCCTTAACTGATTCCAAATCTAACAGACCAGCTTCATTTATTTTAGTGCCTGCCATCTGCTAGCTGCTAGCTACATGCAGTGCCTCCTTTAATTGTCTTAACCTTTATAGCATGGGTATTCTTATCTTAGAGAAAGCTGAGGTCTTTCCACTGGTAAGGGATGGAGCGGAGATCCAAGCTCGGCGCCCAGTAGTCCCCGTGTTCGCTGTTGGCCCCGGGGACACCCCGCAGGCTGGGGCCAGTCCACCGGGACCCATCCAACTGGTCAACCATTAGGACTTCTATCCATTCCCAGCACTCCTGTCGATGGTGGGCCCCGGGGGTGGGGTGGGGCTGGGGAAATTGCATTTTCACATCCGTTACCAAAACAGGGTCAGTACTGGGGCAGCTGGGGTTAGACTCGAATGTGCTGGCAATGAGGCTCGCGTACCTCCCTCGTCCCGGACTGATAGGGATCTGCAGATACGGCAGCTATAGAGAGTAGTTTTTTCATTTTGAAAGGAAACGCCCACAGCGATGAGGTGTGTGTCCGGCACGGACTGCCCAGCAGGCCTCACCCTACGCCAGCTCCACTCTGCCTCCCTGGCGGCACCGTGTCCTCTTTGGGGACTGAGAGAAACTTACCTCCCGGTTTCTGCCTTGGTGACTCAGCTTTGCCTTCTGAGGAATGCGGCCCTGCCCTCCTTGCCGTCAACCGCAGGTGCCAAGCAGCTCCCAGCTGAGTTCGGTGCGAGTTCCTCCTACTTCCCCGTCTGCCCTGTTACAAATCGGAACCCAGCGGCTGAGGTCTGAGCCGGGCCAGGTGTCCTGGCAATCTCTGGTTTCACTCGCTGTCACACCGATACTCTTACACTAGGAGACACAGATTGGGAAGCCATGAGACCCTCAGATTTGGGGGAAGCCCAGGGCTTCACTCTAAAGGGATCTACTGTCTTACCTCACTCGTTAGAAGTGGTGGGCAATGGAAAAAATGGGAAATGGATAGAAGGAACTAGAAGGGCCCTGTTGGCATCTCTCATTTCACCATTGAAACATGACCACAAGGTCACGATGCTCTTCAGTGCAGAACCAAAATCTGGTATGTGCAACAGGTTCTTTTTTCTGGGACAAATGGTAAAGTGGTTCTCCTAAGAGAAGACGACCTTGCCGTGCTAGCTACTGGGAAATGGGGTGCTTCTGTCGGGATTCTCAGGTCTAGCGTCCCTAACAATTGCAGACTGTTAGTGCGAAGCCGCTGCCGAGAAGCCCAGGTGTCCAGGGGATGGGACAAGAGACGTAACGAATTCACGAATACTTGTTTCATCCTTGAAACGGATGGGGCACGACTCGGAGAATCTTTGCCCAAGGAATCCTTTGGCCAAGTTAACCCAGGTCCGTTTGGACTTAGGATACTGCAGCCAGCGGCTCTTTCCGGTGAGAGCAGCAACATCCATCAAGAAAACGTTTTAAATATGTGCCCTATATGTACAGTTATTTTAAAATTCGATCTATATAAAATCATAAGTAGAAACTTGGAAAGCATAGAAAAAAGATGAAATTATTTTTTCCAAATGTTATTTATTTAACAAAGCCTTTCGGGGCCAGTCAAATACAAGCGGCCTCAGTGCAGGCAAAGCGGTCGCTGGCGCGCTCACAGCCGTGGCCCAGGGTTGACTCCGGTTTCCCTAGTTTTTGTTTTTTCTTTACTTGGTTTTTATCAGTGTCCTCCCTCCCTCGGGATACCGCGTTCTATCGAGTTGTGTCTTTTTAAGCCCCTCTTGACCGCGTCGCTTCGCAGACTGGCCTTGTTTTCGGTGGCGCGAACAGTTCTGCGGGCCCGGCCGCCCCTCTGTCGGGGTTTGGCGAGGCCCCGGGGCACTGGGTAGGGGGGAGGAGGCCGAGGGCCCCGCTCAGCATATGGGGTAACCCTGTCCCCGTGACCCCTCACTGTTGGGGCTCCGTCACCCAGCGGAGGCAGGCTCTCCCCTGTACCCCCACCACGTGCCCCCCCTTGGAAGGAGGGGAGCCTTCTCCATATTTATTTTTAAGTTGTGTTTTAACACTTAGAGCAATTAAAAGTCTGGCTCGAGGCCTATTTGTTGCATTTCACGGTATCCAAGCTGCAAGGGTTCTTGAGTGTAGCGGTGGCCGTGCGGGTGGCAGGCGGCGCGGGGTGCAGGCGTGGGCACTGGAAGAGGTGCAGGCGGCCGTCAGCCGTGTCAGCCAACCTCAGTAAAGCTGTTCAAGGAGGGCCCCGAGACCCGGGTCCTAACAGGCTGGAAGGACAAGCGGGCCGCAGGCTGTTACAGCGCCTCCTACCTGCCGCTTCTGCCCCGGGGTTCGGGTGCCCAGACGGGCCTCGTCGGGGAGACCCTGCCCACAACCAGACGACGGACCGATGGAAACCTCCAACCGACTGAAACCTCTCTGGACATTTGCTTTCAAATTTATACCACGAGCTTCTTTAGAAAAAGCAAGTCAGGGACACCGGGGTGGCTCAGCGGTTGAGCATCTGCCTTCGGCTCAGGGCATGATCCCATGGTCCCCGGATTGAGTCCCACATCAGGCTCCCTGCATGGAGCCTGCTTCTCCCTCTGCCTGTGTCTCTGCCTCTCTCTCTGTCTCTCATGAATAAATAAATAAAATCTTTAAAAAAAGAAAGAGAGAGAGAGAGAGAGAAAGAAAGAAAGAAAGAAAGAAAGAAAGAAAGAAAGAAAGAAAGAAAGAAAGAGAGAAAAAAGAAAGAAAGAAAAGAAAGAAAAGAAAGAAAGAGCAAGTCATGGGCAGCCTGGGTGGCTCGGCGGTTCAGCGCCGCCTTTGGCCCAGGGCATGATCCTGGAGACCCATGATCGAGTCCCACGTCGGGCTCCCTGCCTGGAGCCTGCTTCTCCCTCTGTGTCTCTGCTTCTCTCTCTCTTGCTCTCTCCCTCTCTCTCTCATGAATAAATAAGATGTTTCAAAAAAAAAAAAAAAGAAAGAAAGAAAGAAAGAAAGAAAGAAAGAAAGAAAGAAAGAAAGAAAGAAAGAAAAAGCAAGTCCGGGGTGGGCAGAGCGGTGCCTGGCCAGCTCCGTCGGTGGAGCTTGGTCTCGGGGGCATGAGTTCGAGCCCCACGTTGGGCCAAGAGCTTACTTAAGAGAAAAAAAAAAAAGACAAAAGACCATTGGAACAGGCGTTTTTTAGCTTAGAAACCTTACTAACCAACAGTGCAACATCTTTAGGTTCAGTTTTTTAAAGACTTTGTCACGAGATGAATCTCCGC